TGCGTGGTGTAGATTAAGGCGGTAACGAAGTATGTGGAATCAACATGCCCGGCATGCGTATTGGTAACACCCATTAATGAGTTCGGTGGCGGGCAATTCAAGCATGAAAAGCTTAATGAAACTGCCACAGGAAAGGACTGAAATTAGTGAAACAGATCTTCCTCACCGAAGCGTTAAACTAACTTGTCATACTTGGCAATGGCTAAAAAGTTGCTCCTTGAAATTTCTCCTCTTTTTCTAGACCTTTCATTTATGAAATCCGTTATATTACAGCCATAATATTGATTTTCTCCATTATTCACCACTCGGCAAAATGGATAAGCTTGAAGTTTTTTTTGTGATCAAACAAGATATTTGAGTCAGCAGGTTTGTAACCCGTAGAATTATCAGTGTGGGGTGACTACCTCCAAGATTATTTGAGAATTTGTTACGTTGTTTGCCAACGCGCTTCTTAACGAAACAGTTTTCAAAAAAAAACCCAATGATATACGTGCCTTATCTTTATAGGTTAAAAAGTTAGAATAAGAGCCAGATCATATATATTTACAAATCAAAATATAAATCATGCCAAAGGTTTATCCTTGTAGTTTAATTCCTTCAATTTTCTATTTTGGTCCGCCCTTAGCGGCACGTCTAGGTTGGAAAGAATGAAAATACAAAAAATGCAATGTGAACCGTTGAACATTTGTCACAGGGTATTTAAGGGCATTTAGAAAGGTCTGGTATATATATTTAGAAATCACAATATATATCTTCACATTTCTTTTTTCTTGGCACTCTATATGCAGCCCCTTCAGGTTTAAAAAAGTTCGGGCTAATGTGACGAAAATGTAATGCGAACCGTTGAACGGCTGTGGCGTCGACAAAATCTGGATCGGGACGGATCATTTCACGGAGCGGATCACGGATTGGATCACAGATCAGATCACGGATTGGATCACAGATCAGATCACGGATGGAAAAAAAATAGTTTTGATCGATAAAAAAAAATTCAAATCATTTGCAAGATAACGATACTTAAAAAAATCAGAGAAAAAACCTAAAATGGGCTGATTAAAAAAATAAATGTTGCATGAAAACTAAAATAAAGTGTGCGTGACATAATGGCGCGTAGGCCCCACTGGAAGTTTTTAACCCCAAAAACCACATGTAGTCACTGGACTACTTCAATCGCTTACGTGCACTTCAAAAAGCATCACTAATACGATCTTACTCCTCACCTCGCCTCTCCTATTGCGACTATAAATGATATTGAATAAGGGAAAAGTAGCACATGAGATGATATCAAAAAAAAAAATAATGACTGACCAGGAACCAATTACCCAGAGCTTCAATCTTCCATACTTACCCTCTGAGTCAACCCTGTCTTGTATCTTTTTATATTTAGAAGCACCTCCTACGGGGTTTTTCCGCGGGTGTTTACATGATAGCCAATCATAGGAAAGCTGTGGTCCTTTATTCAGGGGCCAACGCACCCAACACTGTGCTACCATTGTACTCTCTAAAGGAACTACTTTCTTTCAGTAATCTACTGAATGTTGTGTTTATAAGGGCACAGGCTGAAGCAAAGAGGTGTGTGAAGAACCTGACCGATTCTGACTGCAACTTCCCCCTTAAGGCCAAGGAAGTGTTGGACTTGGGTTTCAGTGACTATAATCCTTTCTGCGCAGACAATCGAGACCCTGGGGCGACCGGAAGTGATCAGTGTTGTAGGGTGCAGGATAAGGGCGGCGATTGACTAAAATATTTTAATACAGCCAATGGAATTAAGCCCAGTGTACTGCAGACGCTCAATTTTACTTCCCTTTAGTTGTTTTTTTTTTTGAAAGGTTGAAAGGCCTAAACGTCTCGTTTCTCTTTATTTTTAACAGAAGAGTTTCTAGACTTAGAAAGTTTAAAATGGAATTTGACATTTGTCACAGGCGTGATACAATTGTTTTCGTTTATTTAAAGGAAAAAAAAAAACACTTTGTCCTCTCGCCGAAATCGTTTCCTCGGACGTCAAAACAACTCTTAGCCCCATATTTCCTTTCAGCAACTTGTAATATATTTTTTTTTTCGGTCACGCCGCGGTCCCAGAAACCTTTGCGCGTAATACAAGGATCCGATTACTAGCATTTTCAACATTTGACTCAACCCGACGCGCACATAGGGTGGGACCGATTATAGATAGCATCTTGCTGAAATAATTCCGCAAAACGAGAGAAAGATGATTTTCTTCAACATTTTAGTGGCCTTTGGTAAGTTAATTCACCTTTGGCAACAACTTTCAGAGTATCCGTTGTCGTGTCGCGTTTTCGTTGGGCATTTAATTCAAACACGGAGAGGCTATCACTACGTGCACACAAATAGGCAATGTGATATTGTTTCATCCGTTTAAGTAATGATGTTGACTTCTTTACAGTCTCTTCGATGATTTCATTAGTTCTGATGGCTTTGTTTCTAGTTTTTCTATTAATTTTTTTAGTTTTCTTAAGCAGATTATGTATAATGTGCATCGCCCTGAAGCGTGAAGCTCATATGTTTACCTAACTCGCTCGTTGCGTATTTCACTCGAAATATTGGCAAAGTTCATGTTGTTGATCCACCAAAATTTCAACATTTTTCTTTATTGTTGATAAACTTTCTCAGACCTTTCTTAGAGCAATCGAGATTTCGCAAATCGGAGTAATTCTTCTCCTTTGTTTTTGGTAAGTGATGTCGAAGGAACGAATCTTATACTCGCATGTTTGGAGAATCATTATTCTCGTGTTTACTTCAATTTATTTTAAACAAGTAGTTCTACAAAATGTCACTATCTTGGATTCACAAATTGTTGGCGAAATTAACTGAAATAATCTACAAAGTGAAACTGATCTACAACGTGAAACTGAAATAATGTTACCTTTGCAAAGCGTAGAGTATCTTTTTTCAAAGAATCCTGGCGCGTCACTTCTTTCAGTGACGTGGTGGATTTCATTTCAGTCTTTGTTCCTGGCAGCAACAAAAATCATAGAAACTCAAACTGAAACTTTCCTTTATCAGCCTCTCAGGAAATAAGAATCTACAAAATAAGTGGCTTCATAATTTTTCAAGGAAGAATTCTCGTCCAACGAAGGGTCAATAAATGCAGTACGAAGAGAAAGAGGGAAACGAGCCTATCTGTGCAGAGGAGAACTGAGTCAGTATTGTTAATTCAGTTAACTGAACTAGTCAAGTCGCCCTAAAGTCATCTCTCCTGTAGTTTTGTCGCCCGGATATAAGTTATTTCACCCGAGAATTTAGATCAGGCTTACCGACTTTAATTTGGCAAGAAAGTTGAGAAATCTTTATCACTTAAGTTGCGGTTTCCGTTTCTGATAACAAACCCACCTTTGTTTGTTTTATATGAAACCAACGAATCAAAGGTTTTCATCGAACGCGATCTTAATATCGCGTGATCTATGAAGACTTGATCTACACATAAAACAATCAGAATTCATAGGAGATAGAATTTCGTAAACATCAGAACGCTTGTCAGATTATGTTTAGCCAGCAACGCAGGCGTCTTATTAGGACACATGGAAGCTACAAGCTGGCTAGATTATGAGCCGAGTCGCATCAGAGCGAATTAAAATATTATTCAATTTTTCGCGAGAAAAGTTTGGCGGCGGTCCCATCAAACTAGTGTTCTTTGACCAAAAGGTTACTGATTTATTCATACGTCAAGCACAAACCCATCTCTCTCTAAAGTATTGGTAAGAAAATAAAAAAATAAAAAAAGGTCTCGCGCGAACCAGTACTACGCAGGAACGGATCGTTTGTTTTATTCGTGCTGATCTTTGCGTTCTGGTTAACGCATACGCCTGTTGAACTGGCTGAAACAAAATCTCTATTGCGGCCTGGGCCTATGATGGATTTTTTTGCGTTACTTATAATTGGAGCTGTCAACTGCGCCTACAATGTTTGGTAGGGAAGACAGTCCTTCGAATGGTTGAATCGATGCGGTTGTGTCCGCAAGGTTCTCAGGAAATTTAATGTCGTCATCCCAAAGTTCATAAAGAGAGCCAACTACATCTTGCGCAGCTACTATGACGGTAGACTTTCCAACATTGAAAGTTGGGCCAATCTTTAGATGAGAGTTTCCACGATACAATCCAATGGCAAGTATTTTTGCTGGAGATATCAACCGTATCGAAGGTAGCTCTATTCATTCTAAGCTGCTGCCGGAAAAAGTTCTCTGGGATAGTGCGATCGTTGTAGTGTATCTGAAACCACGATCCGTTCGGAAGTGGAACTGACGATACATATGGCGCTCGTCGCAGCCGACGATTCCTCCCTAAAAATTTCCCCTGTGTGATTGACGTTTGCGTTTTCACTTGACGAAGGCTCAATTTAATTTTCATTTCCGGTCTGATGTAATTTGATTTTCCAGCCGATTTTATCCAAGCTAAAATAAAAATTGGCCTATAATGCGACTTAGCCCAACACTGCGTGTGAAATTTCAAATTCACCAAAATATCACGAGTGACGATATTCATTGTTATGCTTTGAAAGAAAATTTTACAAACTTCTAAGCTCTTGATACTGTATGATAGTGTGGAACGTAAAAAAAACCGCAAACCTGAAATTCTGAGATCTGGGCATAGCTGTAATGACCGTGTTACGTACACGTTGACATCATTCTAGCTAATACGTAGATTGATGAATTCAATCGAATAACTTTAATTTGATCTTTTTTTCGCTTTTATACAGTTTTTCTCGTCAGAAACGATGCCGCCCTTCCTAACGTGGGCTCTTGTACTTTCATAGAGTACTACTGCAGTGCTCGTAAATGCAGCACTGCTTTTATTAAAATTTTCCAAAAAGACCCAAAAGGCAAATTGAGCGAACGTTCTTAAGGACATACGACACAGACACAGAACTTCATAGCCAGGCCGCATTCGCTTCTATAGTTCCTAATTGCCCATTCCTTCTCCATCCTGATTTTTTTTAGTTGGTTATTGCCTTTTGTTAGTTTTTCTTTTATCTTCAGCTGTTTTTCTTTTCTTTTTTTCTAATAAAGGTCAGTGTACTGCCCCACATAAAAAACATCAAAAGATCGCAATTTAATTCGACTGTTTGACCATAATAGTTTTTATCTTCTTCGTATTACAGTGTGGAGCTTAGCAAACTAAAGAATTGTGTTGTCGACGTGATGATGGTCTGCATGGGAGATTCACTGCAAGAAAGTCAGGTCAGAGATGTCGTTGACATGACCTTCACGGAAAAACAGCAGTGTCTGGATGGTTCTATGGAAATTCCCACCATGCCGCCAACCAGTGGATCAATTTGTTCAGCATCATTTAGCAGTGATGCAGACACTTGCGTTCGATCCTTTCACCAAAAATTTGCCAAGGACAAATCAGATCCCGCTCTTTGCTCGTAAGTTTAACGAATGTGCATTTTAAATCTTTAATTGAAGGGGGAAGGGAAGGGAGGTGTGCGGACCAAAAGAGCTCGATACTCGTTGTTACAGCTTTTCTATGCACATGCCGTGATAAGGTTCATTTAAGGTGAAAAAAGGCTTTAAAAGAGGTGGGCAGGGTTATGGGCAGAGATCCAGTGGAAACTTTCCTTTCCATTAAGGTGCCAGCGCATCAAACAGTATAGCACTACTGTGTTCTTTAGAGGACTTTCATTTTTTATTTATTTCATTTGATTTGATTTTTTAATGAACGTTGTGAATTATTTTTTTTTAGGGAAAATGCCAAAGCAAAGAGGTGTTTAAAGAACCTGATAGATTCTGACTGCAACTTCCCCACCTCGGCCAAGGAAGTGCTAGAATTAGGTTACAGTGACTACAATCCTTTCTGCGCAAGCAATCGGGATCCTGGGGCCACCGGAAATGATCAGTGCGATGGCGTGCAGGATAAGAGCGGTGATGCATTGAAATATTTCAATGCAGCCGCTGGAATCAAGTCCGGTGTGCTGCAGACGCTGATGTTTGCTTTTTTTTTGTTGTTTTTGTTTTTTAAAGTTTAGAAGGCTTTAGCCCCTTGTTTGTCTTGAGTTACAGAAGAGTTTCTAGACTTAGAATGGTTAAAATGACACATGACACTTGTAAGAGGCGTGTTTCAATAAATTGTTTGCGTTAATTTTTTTGTTTTTATATTGGTTTGTTTTCTTTCGTTCTTCAAGGAATACATCGTCATTTGTACGTACGGACGGTCTTTTGGTCAGTGTCAAATGATGGCCCCATTAAAGAACATAGCAATCGAGATGATCCAGATGATCGTGTATCCGATGGAGATATGTGGAGGGGAGTAAACATTATTCCGTCTTGACAACTGATTGACGAGAAGGTAGGGTGGTACTTTCATTATATTACATAACAGTCTGAGCGGAGATCAACATTCAACAGCGAACAGCATTAAGATGATTTTCTTCAACATTTTATTTGCTTTTGGTGAGTTAATTTACACCTGGAATCAACTTTCACCGTCTTACTGTTTTCTGTTCTAGGTTTGTCGTATTCTCAGAATTCAAACACTGGTTTACACCGCTTGCAAGCAAATGAGTTTGCAGTCAAATCCGTCAACGTGATTTTCGGCTCATTTTCATATACGTAAGTTCACCGGCGGTTTTCTTTCAGTCTCTGCGGTAATGCCGATATTTTCTGTGGCTTTGTTTCGCTCCATACGTATCTTTCGTTTCTTAAGTGTTTTTCTTTCGTTAGTAGTTCATGAAATGTCGTCCTGAAGCTTCAAGGTCGTAACTCTAATGATCCCTTAACCTCATTATGGGTTAATGAGTTGTAAAAAGGTCATATGGTATTACAATATCAATTGAGTTGATTACGTACGTTAATAAGAGTTTCAAAGCTGAAGCTTCGAGCGTTTGCCCTCCTTTGAAGCGAATGGAGGAATTGTGGGTTGTGTGTGTGTTTATGTGTGGAAAATGGAGGAAAATCATTGATGGGAACACGGTCACGAGAAAAATAATAAATTAGTTGAATGAAAAGCATTCGTGGATACCATGGGGATTAAGAGTGTCGATTTGACAGATAAATTTTTGTTCTAGAGTTTTACGGCTTCCGCAAACTGCCAAATGCTGCTTGGAATGAGTAGCGAG